GACCACCTCGAGGCTGCGTCTCCTCCCTGCCACGGAGTCCTCTTGCTCTGTCTGACCTCCGCCTTCCTGCCCAGACCTTTTGGGTTGACCGTGACTGTCTGTGGCTTTGACATTGGCTTCTCCGGGGCCTCTCCGCCATCCAGGGGATCTCTACACCCTGACCTGTCCACAAGTGACCTCTTCAGGTATCCTAGACTCCGTGCCCAGACTAGGCCAGGCCAGCCTGCTCAGACAGCCTGGACTGTGTCCCCTCCCACCCCCCACAGCCCCCTGGACTGTGTCCCCTCCCACCCTCTGCCCACTGGGAACACTCTTCTTCAGGAAATAAGAGCCAAGGAGTTGTGGAGCCCGGGCGGGTGGGGAGGAGGCGGAGGAGCTGCTCCGGGTGCTGACAGGTAGGGCTTTCCCTGAGGGTGTCCTGGCACCGGCTGTGGGGATGTCGGTGCAACGCGGTGAATATACTGAAAACCGCTCTCAGTGGGCGTTATGTGAGGCGGGTCTCAATTGTTTCATGCTATTAAAACCAGAAGCCACCGAGAGAGGTGCCGAGGGATTCAGAGAGCACATCCTGCAAAGGACAGAGGAGTCAGGGTCAGAGGAAGCACCGGGCAGGGAGCTGGAAGTGGTGGTCAGGTCTCTCCCGCAGAAAGCCAAGGGACAGGGACAGGGTGTACCTGGAGCTGCTGCCCCTGAGGGGCACCACGTTTGGGGCTTCTAATGGGGTCCTGGCTCTGCAGCGGGTGGAAGGAGAGGCCAGGAGGGACCTGCTGGGTGCCTTTTCGCAGCCACAGTTACAGCTCTGAGATGGCCCTGGCACACAGAGGGAGCGTGCACCAGGCACGTTGGGAGGATGTTGATTCTTGTTTATTGAGCACCTACTGCAGGCCTAGGGTGGTCACCACCCTCTCTCACGTCATCTCCCAGTACTGCCTTCAGGGAAATGCTCCGGCGGCCTCGTTCCACAAGCAGGGAAACCAAGCTACGAAGCAAAATCTGGGGAACGTCTCGAGCAGCTCCTCCAAGCCCTGGACGTGGGGAGCGGGCGGACACTTGGCGTCAGGGGCCGTTGACCATTGGGGGCCCAGCCAGACCCAGCTCCCCGCGGCCACCAGCCACAGGCCAGGTGGGCTCTGGACCATTCTAGTGGTATTTCAAGTTTCGTGACTCATCTCAAGCCAGCAGGGAGAGTTAGGGAAGAAAATCACATTTTCAGAGCCCTTGAGAGCGCGGAGGATTTTCTCTCTTTGGGGAACCATCTGGATCAGAAAACAAAGAACAGGATCCAGAACGACCTGGAGAGGATCCCAGCCCTGCATTTTTTGCTGAACTTCTCTGGGCTGACTGAGGCTCAGCTTCCTCCTCTGGGAAACAAGCGTGATCAGTGCTTTCATCACAGGCGGTCGCCGGAGCGTTTACGAGGATGTGTGTGGACACGCTTCGCAAACTGTAAAGGGCTCCGTGCCGTTATTTTCTTCTTTAAAAGGTTGGAGTTTTTTTTTGTGGGGGGAGACTGGGAATCGAACCCAGGGCACTTTCCCACTGCACTACACCCCCCCGTCCTTTTTATATTTATTTATTTATTTATTTTTAAATTTTGAGGTGGGGGTCTCTCTAAGTTGCCCAGCTGGCCTTGACCTGTGATCCTCCTGCCTCAGCCTCCTGAGTCACTAGGGTTACAAATTTCCTATTTTAAATCAGAATCCCCAGACTTCTCTGTTCACTCTGAAAATGCATCAGATGCTCTTTTTTTATTTTGTTTTGAGTACCAGGGATTGAACTCAGGAGCACTCCACCACCGAGCCACATCCTCAGCCCTATTTTTCATTTTATTTAGAGACCGGGTCTCACGGAGTTGCTTAGCACCTGGCTTTTGCTGTGGCTGGCTTTGAACTCAAGAGCCTCCTGCCTCAGCCTCCTGAGCTGCTGAGATGACAGGCCTGCACCACCGCGCCCGGCCGTCAGATGCTCTTGAACTTTGCATATACATTAAAATCAAACATTCACTTGTCTTGACTTCAACACAAAAATATTTAAGATTGCAAGTTTGATTTCACCATCACATTTAGTTCTAAACTTTTCCTGAAGTTGACCATCGCTTGAGGCCTGATTTTCCCCATCTGAGGAAAGAAACAGGAATGTCCTTGGGGTGAGGTGTGGCCACAAGTGGCCAGGCCCAGTAACTGCCCCTTCGACTTCTCATGAGGTCTTCAGGCACGGTCAGCGTGGAACGCAATCCCCTGGTCCCTAGAAAAAGGGGGAATGACAGAGAGGGAGTTCCCTCTTCTGGAACAACCAACTCAGAGTGTCCAGCTGGTCTGAGCCACGTCCACCCTCCAGGGGCGGGACAGGGTGGGGTGGCCGAGGCGGCTTTCCACTAGGTGATGCTGGTCCACCTGGAACTGAAACCGGAGCCGTTGCCGGGCCGCTTCCCTGGGAACCTGGGCGGCCTTCCCGGTGCGCCGAGTGTTAGGGGCGACCGCTCAGAAAGCACACCAAGTCCAAATTGGAAACAAACGAGAGAATTCTATTTTATGTCTATCATCCTGGCCAGGGACGTTCTGCCATGCCCAAATGGCTTCTGACAGAAGGTGCAGGCTGTCTGCGAAGCTGGAAATCGCCAGCAAGCAGGGTCCCAGGACTGAAAGAGCAGTCGGCAGAGCAGCCGGCCGACTGCATCCTGGGTTCCAGCTCACTGCGGTCGTTCACCCCGGTTCAGGTTCACTTGAAGGTGGACGAAGCACAGAAAAACAATTTTTTAAAAAAATAATTTTTAATAACAGGGCTGGGGCTATAGCTCAGTGGCAGAGCGCTTGCCTTGAACGTGTGAGGCACTGGGTTCAATCCTCAGCACCACATAAAAATAAAATTAAAAATAAAGGCATGCTATCCATCTACAACTACAAAATTTTTTAAAAAATTTAAAAACAGCTTATATAACAGTTTCATGTGGGAACCATAAAGATAGAGTCACTATGGCTCTACTTACTATTTTATCAATCTCTATTTTTTAATCCTGATCTAAAACCTATAACTTATTAATTGTATTGATTAATTCAGACCATAACACTGAGATCCTTGTGGACCAAAGGGGGTTTTGCCTTAGTTCTCAATTCTGGAGCTACAGACAGCTGGGTGACTTTTCTTGTGATGCCCCCAGTCAAGTTGAGCTGGTTTATAGCAGATCTGTAGGCTCTCCAGGTGGGGTGATTGCTGCTTGTGTCCCTGGAGGGAAGAGACCCCCTACTTCCCTCCTCAAAGTGAATCTGCAGCTCCCTCCCCACTGCTTCACCATGAGACTGGTCGGCCAGCCATGACTGCTCCAGAGAATTCCACACTCTGGTTGGATCAGGGCAGGGCTGCAGCTCCTACGGCCTCCTTTGACCTGGTCCTCAACCCTAGATCTGAGCCAGTATTTATTTGGCTGTGTATCTCACCGTGATTTTGTGTGGCTGGCGAGCTAGTCATGCTGATAAGAAAGGAAAGGAGTTTACAGGGAAAACAATGACTAAAAAGTAATGTTAACTCAGAGCCACCGTCAGTGAAGGGAGGATCTAGAGCTAAGAGACAGTGAGCTGACAGCTGGTGCACTGAGCATCTCTTCCTTGTCCAGTCTGATGTTCAACTGAGTATTTAGGCCGTTTATATTTAATGTAATTGTACATATGATCAAATTTTCTTACTGTTTGTCCCATCTGCCCTTTGTTCTCTTCTGTCTTCTTTGGAATTGATTGTTTTTCTCCCAAGTGATTCTATTTTTAGCTCCATGATTGACTCATTAGATTTAATCTTTCATCTTATGTTTTTAATTGTCTATTTAGGGTTAACTATATATATTTTTAAACTTATCTCAGTCTAATTGCAAATAATATCGTCATTTCAATATAAAATGTATTTATACATTTTATTTAAATGAATAAAATATATTTTGCAGATAGTGTCAAAATTGCTGAGCCAAATGGTAACTCTATTTTTAACTTTATTTAGGAATTGCCAAACTGTTTTGCAAAATAGCACACCTTGCATTTCTTCCAGCAATGTATGAGAGTTCTAATTTCACCAACACTTGCTATTATCTATCTTTTTTTATTCTAGCCATACCTGTGGGGGTGAAGTAGTGTATTATCCTGGTGGTTTTCTTTTTCATACCCCCAATGAATGACAATATTGAACAACTTTTCATGCATTTATTGGCTATTTGTATATGTTCTTTGAAAAAAGTCTATTCAGAGCCTTTGTTTTTAAATTGGTAATTTTGTGGAGTTGTAAAATTTCTTTTCTTTCTTTCTTTTTTTCCTTTTTTGGTACTGGGGACTGATCCAGGGGTGCTTAATCACTGAGCCACACCCCCAGCCATATATATACACGTGTGTGTGTGTGTGTGTGTGTGTGTGTGTGTGTTCTTTCTTTATAACTGATTCAAGTCCTTAAAAAAAAAAAAAAAAAAAAAAAAAAAAACCTTAAGCAAGGAAGAGTGGTCACAGCTTTCAAATGTCAACATGTCAAATGCAGCCGGAGTCTTGGCTCCTCCTCTGAGTTGCCAGATACAGTTGCCTCTGTGTCCTCACCTGCAAAACAGTCACATCACACACCCCCATAAGTATGTACAATTTTATATGTCTATTTTTAAAGTGAGAAAATTTTTAAATCTTTAGGGAATGATTACAAAACTCCCGCCAGGCACAGTGGCACACGCCTGTAATCCCAGTGGCTCGGGAGGCTGAGGCAGGAGGATCCCAAGTTCCAAAGCAGCCTCAGCAACTTAGTGAGGACCTGTCTTCAAAGTAAAATATAAATAGGGTTGGGATGTGACTCAGTGGCTAAACAAATAAATCTACAATCAAATGGAGAAGTAAAGGCTCAGCACCACATACAAACAAAGATGTTGTGTCCGCCGAAAAATTCTCTCTCTCTCTCTCTCTCTCTCTCTCTCTCTCTCTCTCTCTAAAAAAAAAAAAAAAAAAATGGAGAAGTGAATGCAATGTAAACTAGCTCCTGGGTAGTCACCTGCTGCCCCTCCCTCTAAAGCTGGTGGGGGTGGGGAATGGCCATGAGTGACATTTGCCCAGATGAAACAAACTTGATGGAAGGATCAGGTTGCTTCTGGGGTCCAGTCCTTCTCCCAGCCCTTTTGCCACCGATGGCTTTGTGGCCAAGCAGTGAACTTTGTCCCTTCTCTGAAATGTGCCCTGGTAGGAAGGGGCAGGGGACTCTCCCAGGGAGGAAGCTGGAGGGCTTCTCGGAGGAAGCGGTGTCAGGTTTGGGTTTTGAAGGATGAATGAGCAGGATATTTCCAGGTGGTAGAAGCAGGTGCTCTGGGCAGAAGAGCCCAGGTAAGCCGATGTCCTGAGGCCTTGTGGCGAGACATTCAGCAGCAGCGATGCAGGAGGGATGCAGTAGCATCCGGGGCATGGGGGAGACTGTGAAGGGGTGGACAGCCATGCTGGGGGTGAGGAAGGGCGGGCAGGGCTGCCCTCAAAGTGAGTCAGTGAGGAGGTGGGTAGGACCGAGGGCGGAGGCTGGCTGGCAGTGGGTCCCTGTTTGCACAGGAGCAGCTCAAAGTTTGCAGCTTTCGGTTTCGGTTTCCCTTTCCGGGGCCCAGAGGATGTGTCACTACCCAGAGGCACACTCTGCGACTGCATCCCCACAGCGGAGGACAGCTGGGTCGGGAGTGAGCTCAGCCAGGAGAAGACTCCTTGGTAAGTCGGGGGTATGATGGCCCCGTTTCCTGGTCCTCCCCATAGCTCTGTAAGAGGAGGGTCATTGTGCCCATTTTACAGATGAGCTCTGGGCAGGTCGGGAATCAGTCCCAGGTCCAACAGTGAAGCAGAAGCAGAGCCCGCGGGGTCTGACACTCCCCTGTCCCCTTCAGCAGAAGAGAGGGTGGGGACCTGCTCAGAGTTCATGAGGTTCCCTCGGGTGCAGCCCGGGCTCCATGGCCAGGGGACCCCAGAGGGAAGGTGCTGTCAGCGGTGCCCCGTCTCTTTGGGAAATCTGGAGGTGTCCAGCGTGTGGAGGAGGCCAGGAGGGCCCTTTCCTTGGGAAGCACAGAAGTTCCCAGCCCGGGTAATTGCCAGAAGGTTCCTTCTGGTTTATCTTCTGTGCGTGGATTCCGTCGTCTCTCCAAGGCCACCGCCTCGTCTTGTCTTATCCTGTCCTTAACAGGACAAGTGGCCTCTGCCTCGGCCAGGGAGCCAGGGCAGAGGGAGCTGGAGCAAAGTGACTTTCTTTAAATAGTAGCCGCAGAGCCCAGGAGGCAGAGAACACTCTGGGTCCACTTGGCCTCTGCTGCCGTAGGAGGCAGGCCCCTTTGCCACAGCTGGCCCACAGCTGGCCYGTGTCCCACCCCTCCATGTGCCTCCTCCTCCCCTTCAGCCTGGACGCCGCTCGCAGCTGTAAGGAAAACCTCTCAGAGACGTGACCGGCCGCTGGACCATGGACCCAGACCCCGGCGAGGCCTGCCCAGGTAGCCCGGCTTCCTCCTCTCTAGCTGGTTCTTGCTGAAGACCCAGAACCGGGGTGGCTCCTTCACAGGGAGTTGGCCTGCAGGGGGSTCAGGGAGGGAGCCCCAGGGACAAGGGGTGCCCCCACCGGCCTGGGCCTGGGGGGTCCCTGCCCTCTCCTCAGGAGGCTGGACACTCTGCCCCCCTCTCCCTCCACCCACCAGCTCAGGTGGGGCAGGGACGGAGCCTGGAGRGGGGTGGACAGGGCCCGGGGTCCTGCCCTCTCCTCCCCTGCTGCTGGCTGACCTGGGCCTCACCCATGAGGGGCTGCGCCCTCCAGCTCTGGTCCTGCACCCAGCTCTGCATGGGTCAGCAGGAGGGGCCACCCAGAATGTCACGGAACTCGACCCCATCGTGACCCTGGCCACCTCCCATCTGTGTCACCCTGAGCTCCTCCCCTCCCCTCCCCTCCCCTCCCCCGTAACAGGAGGACACTGTTTCCTTGTTGTGAGGATCTGATATAAGTGCTACGTGGCCTGGGCCAGCACCTGCCACACAGCAGGTCCTCCCTGACTGTCCTTCTCGCCCCTGGGCCTGGAACCTGACCATCCCAGGTGGCCTGTGTGAGGGTCCCTGCCCGGCACTAGACACCCCCRTGCGTCTAACCAGGGGGCTGCCTAGGGCAAAGGCTGACCCTGATCAAAGGAAAATCTGAAACTCAAACCAGAATAGAGCCACCGTCCACCCCCACCTCAGTGGGCTCTTCCCGAGTCTCGTTTTCTCAGAACCGTTTCCGTCCCCTTCCTCCATTTCCTTGTAGCCAAGTCAGAGCAAATGGTGCTTCAAGTAGAGGCCTCCGGGAGGGGGGGGGGGCTCCAAGGAGGCCTGAGGCCCCTGGGCAGGCCTAGGCTGCTGGTGTCACTGGGGAGCCCAGGACAGGGAGAAAGCACAAGGATCAAAGTGGAGGGGCCAGCCCCCCGGCTCGGCACCCTCCTGAAGAGTCCCCCCACTGCCAGTCCTGGGGGTCCTCRAAAAACAGAGGAATCCTCACTGCATGCTGGTTTCCTTCCATAGTGTGTGACATTATCTTTAGATTTTAAAAAAGCCCAGAGTAATGTAGGGACAGACGAGGCAGGGCACCCAAGACAGCAGGAGACAGTTTTGTTTGGCTGCAGCCAGGTTCAGGGGGCACAGCCTTTGCTGTAACCAGTCAATCCCCTGAATCCCCTGAGTTCAGGGAGTTTCAGAGTTTTATACCCAGTGTGTAAGGGGAGGGCTCAGAAGCTCACAGTCTGCACAAGTTCACATCAAAGCAGCTTTTTCTCTCACTGTTCTGGGCAAGTTAACCCTTCAAGGACCACACCTGAGAACGGGGGAGCTTCTTCTCCCCTTTCTGTCCTCCCCCTGCCCGCTGTTACCATGGGCCCAGTTGTAACTTCTCATTTTAGGAATGTAGACATCTCTGTGAAGCCCCGCTCACGGCCAGGGCCTTGTTAAAGGATCTTTTTATTATCATATTTTACTTTTGCAAACACACTTCCACAAATTACTATACCAGATAAATGTTTGTGAAAAAAAAGTAAAGGGGCGTCCAGGCCCGTGGCCAAGTGAAATAGAGCAACAGGAAAACAGAAAGTTTACCTCCATTGGACTCTTTTGCAGAGACTCTTTTGCTGATAGTCCTAAAATCAGCCGTGGTGAAGATGTGTGGAGAAGTTTAGTTAAGGTTTCCTGTGGCATGGGGGTGTCRCTACAACAGTTATACTATAGTGTAGAATGCAGAAATCACCAGATTTTTTTTTTCCTCAGTACTGGGAATGGAACCCAGGGCGTCCTGCCACTGAGCTGCGTCCCCAGCCCTATTTTGTATTTTATTTAGAGATAGGGTCTCCCTGAGTTGCTTCGCACCTTGCTTTTGCTGAGGCTGGCTTTGGACTCGAGATCCTCCTGCCTCAGCCTCCCGAGCTGCAGGGATGACAGGTGTGCACCACTGCTCTCGGCTGAAACTCTGTTTTGAAAACACCATGAACAGTATTTGACGTGCAGCAGGCATAGGGCAGCTGGAAGCTGTCACCRGAACATTCCACTGTCCAGCCAGAAAGGCTGCCCAGGGCCAAGAACACTTTGTCTCTCTGCAGAGCACCAGGGCACTTCCCTGAACTGTAGTCTTCTTGGGCTCCTGTCACAGAATGCCCCAGGCTGAGCAGCTGAAGCCAAAGCCACTTACCTCTCACAGTCCTGGAGGCCAGAGGCCACGCTGCAGGTTTCTGGTGAGGCCTCTCTTCCTGGCCTGTGGAGGCTGCTTCTCAGGGGTCCACATGGCCTCTCCTTGACACAGGGCTGGGGGAAGATCTGGGGTCCTGTGCGCTTCTTCTAAGGACACCAAGCCTATCGATGAGGCCCACCCCTGTGAACAGTTCCATCTTAATGACTTCACTTCCTTGAAAGTCCTATCGCCAAACACAGTCACTGGGAGTTAGGGCTTTAACTTATGAAGCTGGGGACATGGTTCAGTCTACAGCSCCAGCGACTCCACAGATATACCCCATGGGGACCTGGGTGYAGCTCAGTGGTGCAGKGCTTGCCTCGCAGGTGCAAGGTCCTGTGTRTGATCCCAGCACTGCAAAAAAAAGTACCCCATGTGGCAGCAGCCAGGACGCTATTTCCGCTCTGGCCCMCTGTCCCCTAACCGTGCTTTCCTCTCCCCACAGACAGCAAGAGCCTCACTGAGGAGGCCATTGAGTATTTGCAGGGCGCAGTGAGCAGAGAGGACCTGGATCTCCTGCTGACCAAAGAGGCCTGGGAGAGCCTCGTGGCTGAGGCTGATCTGTCCAGGTAGCTGCGGTCGGGAGCTCCCCCCTTTTGCCCTGTCCTCTCCTGGCTTTAGCCTCCAGTTCCTCTGGAGGTCAGAGATAGCACAGCAGCTCCCATCCGAGGTCACGTTGTTAAGTTAAGCATCCTTTAATGCTTGGAACCAAAAGTGTTTCAGATCCAGGATATTTTTCCAGGGCGGGGCGGTTATAGGGATTGAGCTGAGCCCCATCCCCAGCCCAATTTTGTATTTTATTTGAGACTGGGTCTCACAGAGTTGCTTAGCATCTCACTAAACTGCTGAGGCTGGCTTTGAACTCATGATCCTCCTGCCTCTGCCTCCGGAGCCATTAGTATTATGGGTGTGCACCCCTGGGCCCGGCCCTGGATTTTTTTGTTTGTTTTTGGATTTTGAAATATTCACAGATATATAATTAGMTRTCTTGGGAATGGGACCCAAGTCTAAATGTGAAAGTCAGTTTCTTCTCTATACCTTACGTGTGCAGCCTGATGGTGATTTTATTTAACATTTTTAGCAAGGCCTGCGTTTTGACTGTGACCCATCCCATGAGGTCAGGTGATCCACTTTCTACTTGTATCATCATGAGAGTGCTCAAAAGGTTGCAGATTTGGGAGCATTTCAGGTTTAGATTGTTGGATCAGGGACGCTCACCTGTATGGTCTTGAGGCCAGAGAGTCCAGGCAAACAAAGCTATTCCTAGCAGGAGGACATTCCAGGGGCCCACAGATCGCTTCCCCATAGCTGAGGACAAAGGGAAGCCTTCTCTGGAGCAAGCTGAGTCTTCCCTGCACACTAGCATTCTCTGAATTAAGGGGCCTTGTTTGTTTATTTCCCAGTTCTCTTTGTTCAGATACAGAGCACCTGCTCTACAAATAGTTTGGTAGTGACGCCACTGWCCTTGAGTCAGAAGGTGCTTTTTCAAATGCCTACCACTGAAGAGCATCTTGAGATGACTTTCACACATGCACCACCTTATTAAGGACCACAAAGTAACTATGATGTTCCAAACATGATTAGCATTGGRAGAAAAATGCTGTACATCAGTAAAATTCCTTTTCACTTGATTTATAGTAAAGGCTCTGAGGCTCATGCAGGACACAGCTTACTGAGCYCATTGACAGGCGAGCCAACGGCCTCTCTTAGTCACTGACCTTGACTCTTCCAGGGAGGAAGCAGATGCGCTGYACGAGGCTCTGAATAAGCTTAGAGGAGACATGGCCCTGGAGGACAAGGACATGCTCCAAACCCACATGCAGGACAGGGAGAGGTTCCTGCAAGAGTTTCCGCAGGTGAAAGCRGAGCTGGAGGAGCGCATAGAGAAGCTCCGCGCCCTGGCAGACAGGGTTGACAAGGTGCACAAGGACTGCACCATCTCCCACGTGGTGGCCAASTCCACCGGTGCCGCCTCTGGAGTCCTCACCATCCTAGGCCTGGCCCTGGCACCTGTGACGGCAGGAGTCAGTCTGGCCCTCTCGGCCACTGGGGTGGGGCTGGGAATAGCCGCTGYTGTGACAAGTGTCTCCACTAGCATCGTCGAGCATTCAAGCACTGTGTCCGCTACAGAAGAAGCCAGCAGCCTCGTGTCAGAGAACGCGAGCAACGCAAAGGCCGTTGCCCAGATCGTAGGCCAAAATGCACCCAAGGCCATTTCGTTGACCAAGAACTTCATCCAAGTACTGGGCGACATTGGGAAGCACATCCGGGCCATCAAGCTGGCCAAAGCCAACCCCCGCTTRGTATCCAGTGCCCGGCGCCTCATGACAACCGGGAGAATCTCAGTCCGACGTGGCAAGCAGGTACAGAGAGCCTTTGGAGGCACTGCTCTGGCCATGACCAAAGGGGCCCGGATCATGGGTGCAGCCACCGCAGGCATCTTCCTTCTGATGGACGTGATCGACCTCGTGAAAACGTCGACGCATTTGCATGAGGGGGCAAAGGCAGAGTCGGCTCAAGAGCTGAGGCAGAAGGCTCAGGAGCTGGAGGAGAAGCTGCAAGAGCTCAYCCAGACCCACGAGAGGCTGCAGCTGGACCCGTCGCCATGACACCTCTCCTCAAGCAGCACGGAGATCAGGGGACACGTGCTGGACAGAGGGATGCCTGCATGGGGCYGTTTTATTATGTGGGAGAGAGACAGAAATAAAGTCTTTGAAACTGAGTGTCAAGGCGTYTGGCATTCCTGTGGCTGAGCACAGCAAGACAGGGGTTAATACTGACAGCAAGTGGGTCAAGAAGAAGGCAGGAACCCAGAGTCTGAAATCAGGGACAAGAGGGGACAAGAATGTGCAGGGAACAGGAAGAGTTTATCTTGGACTAAAGAATACATAGGAAGCCAGGTGTGGTGACACATACCTACAGCCCCCGCTGCTCGGGAGGCTGAGGTGGGAGGATGGCTTGGCTTGAGCCAGGAGGACGAGGCCAGCCTGGGCAGCAGGGTGAGATTCCATCTCAAAAGAGAAAGAATAAGTGSGGGGGCTGTGAACAGAGAGGAGGTGGGCAGCAACAGGCAGGGAGACACCAGGAAAGCCAGTTGGCCGCAGCGGGGGAGGGACAGCAGCTCCAACACTGCCCCTCCCAGAGCCCCACATCCAGCAACAGGCTTTCCCTGGTGGACTCTGGCCTCGTCTTTCCAGGTTCTATTCACCCTTGGTTTATCTCAGGAAGGCAGGGACTTTTTTTTTTTTTTTTTTTTTTTTTGGTGGAGGTGTGTACTGGGGATTGAACTCAGGGGCCCTCGACCCCAGAGCCACATCCCAGCCCTATTTTGTATTTTATTTAGACACAGGGTCTCACTGAGTGGCTTAGGGCCTTGCCATTGCTGAGACTGGCTTTGAACTTGCGATCCTCCTGCCTCAGCCTCCCGARCCGCTGGGATGACAGGCATGTGCCACCACACCCAGCAGGCAGGGACTTCTTGATAGTGACAGTARTGATGGTGGTGATGGTGGTGGTGGTGTTGACAGCAGAGTGGGTGAAGTGCAGGTGGCCAGGCTTCACTRGGGCCAGGGTGCACTGAGGGACCAGGGAACGCTCAAGGAACCTCCAAACGCAGTATTGTCATATGGTTGATCTGGGGGTCCAGGGGATGAGTGAGACCAGATTCGAGGAGTGGGTTAAGGAATCCTGTAGTGTCTCKCGATCAGCCAGCTTGGGGTCAAGACGCAGCCTCCCTGAGCCTCCGTTTCCTCATGACTTTGGGAAGGAGGTGCTGGACAAGAGGACATCCCAGATCCATCCGGCTCTTTCCAGTTCGTGTTCTGTATTCTGTGGTTCAATAAATATTATATGATTGATCCAGGAAAATTGATGTAAAAGAACTGATGGCCATAGGTCAAAGGTGCCCTGGCCAAAGGAAGAGTCAGAAGATCCGGGATTACAGAGGGTAATCTTTTGGGGGGTTTTCTGGACAGAAGTGTGGTCAAGGGTAGCAGAAAGACCAGTAGATCCCCACCACCTGGGTCAGAGGGAAGGGGCTTATGTATATAGTGGTCAGGATTTCGAGTGGCTTCATCCAAGCCAGAACGAACCTGGTTTTATCTCAAGCCAACGTCAAAGACATCAGGCACATTCCCAGCACTGATGGAATCTGGTAGTAAATCCTACAGACCGCTCTAATGGTTTATCTACAGTGTGCCAGGAAACTRTGCAGGGGAGACAGCCACGTTTACTCCAGGGAAATCATAGCAATTATAACTCAAGTTGGCCGTCAGGTCGGCCTGGGCCCGCACCCTGATGTGCTGAACCTTTGTGGGTGGACTCATTGGCTCACCTGGGCTCTGTGTGCCTGACTTCCTGTTGCAGGCYCCAAATGGCGATAGTCAAGACTCCCTTGCTGTGGCTTCCAGCGAGTTATTTKTAGTCTGCAACCATGCTTGCGAGCATGCGCTCACTTATGTAACCTGTTGCCCGTGTGCCTTCTCTGTTTGCCCTGCACATAAAAAAAGCCTATGGAAGCAGGCACAGTGGCCCACGCCTGTAATCCCAGCGGCTGGGGAGGCTGAGGCAGGAGGATCTCCAGTTCAAAGCCAGCCTCAGCAATGGTGAGGCGCTAAGTGACTCAGGGCAACTCAGGGAGATGTTGTCTCTAAATAAAGTACACAATAGGGCTGGGAGTGTGGCTCGGTGGTGGAGTGCCCTGAGTTCAATCCCTGGTGCTCCCCCACAAAAAAAAAAAGACCTATGGAAGGAGTCATGGGCTAAATGCTGGAGCTGGAASTGGAGAGTGGGGGCTGCTGACGTCTCTGAATAAAGAATATCTTCTATCCCAACGGCACTCACGTCTTTCCACTACCGGGATCCCGGATCTGTTTCCCAGGGTCTGAGCCTCCATCCAGAGGCTTCCCTTCCCCATGAGCCTTCTCCCAGGGCCTCAGGGAGCAGGTCCTCCATGGCCTCACTCACTGGCTCTTACTGTCCTGCAGGCCCTGCTGGGTCACCTGGGGAAGGAAGCTCAGGCGTGTCTGACTCAGGCTGAGCGTAGGTGCTCCCTCCATCCCGCCTCTGGGCCTGGACTGACATGCAGCACACGAGGTTGATCAGTTCAGAGGGGSCTGCGTGCAGGTGTGCAAGAGGGTCAGAGGTCGAGGGACAGAGAAAACTAGACAGCAGACGTCCTCATCTGAGATGTCCTCATGATTCACCCAGACCCCTGCAACAGCTTCCAGAATGGTGTTTCTTATGGCAGTGCCCCAGGCCCTGCCCATCCTCCACACTTGAGTCTATGGATTTGATTAAAAGCACCTGCGTCCAAGTCTTCAGCGGCTTYTCATCACTCCGCACAAAAGACCCCAAACTTCGGGCTGCTTAGAGTAAGTAGCCTGTTGTGGCCTGGGGTCCCCCAAAGCAGAGCCGGAGCCAAGGCTCATGCACGGGGGTTATTTAGGAACTGGTCCTGGGAGCAGGACGAGGGACCCGGAGGAGCCGTGCACAGAAGGAGGGAAGAGAAGACAGCCATCTGCTCACCCACCGGGTGACTCACCTGCCAGGACCTTGGGAGGAGCCTGCAAGGACTGTCCTCGACATCCTCCTCCCAGGAAGGAGGGAGGGARACTCCCGTCCCCCGTGGGCTTGCCCCTGGGGCATCTGTGTTTCCACAGAAAGCCTGTGAGGGCCGTCCCCAGAGCAGGAGCCAGAGACAGAGGGTGGCAAACATCTGGTCACTCCCAAGGGCATCCAGTGCCTAGCAAGTCACGGTTCAACTGTGAGGTGTCCCCAAAAGCTCACGTGAGACAATGCGAGAAGGGACAGAGGAGAAAGGATTGGTGTTGACAGCCTTAACCCAATCAGTGAGTTGGGATTAACTAAGTGGTCACTGGAGGCAGGTGGGTGTGGCTGGAGGAGGTGGTTCACTGGGGGCGTGGCTTTGGGGTGTAGATTTGTATCTGGAGAGTGGGGTCTCTCTGCTTCCTGATCCTCAGTGAGCCGCTTCCCTCTGCCACACTCTCCCCATAATGCTCAGCCTCACCTCCCGCCCCAGGAACGGAGCCGGCTGTGGGGAGCCACTCTGAATGATTTGCCCCTTCCATGCAGGAGGAGAGGCTCTGACGGGTCACTACCTTTCCTAGGCACCTGGACATTGTCCCCATCCAGGAAGGCGTGTCTTCAGACGTAGGCGTGTCACCATGGGGTGGAGCTAAGCTCACCTGTTCCTT